TCAATTTCATTTTGTGCTGTTAACTTCCTAAGTTTCTATTACAGTGCTAGATGGTTGAACAATCAATCATAATTAATGACCTCAAAATAAAATTATAATAAAAAATGTTACAACCATTCTACTGACAACTATCTATGAGACGAGAGTTATTAAAATTTAATGAAATGTACCCCACGCTTTTTATTCTGAATTGAATTATTCTGTTAATAACTTAAATTTTATTATAATTTCATTTTGAGGTCATTAATTATTTATGATTGATTATTCGATTACTACTGTAATAGTGTATAAACTCTTGGTTACTAAAAATTATTTTCTGCTTTTTAGTTCAATTAGCCATAAAAGCGTGTTTTTTGTTTTATTTTTCATTTATATTTCATTTTTTAGTTTAATTTATCAATTAGTTTTTAGTGTACATGTGGTATTGAAATATCGGATCATTTCGTAATCTAATCATTTCATTCAAAGCTTCACTGTTGCATGGGGGTTTTCCTGTTAACTTCAGTCACGAGCCTAGATAAATGACTGCATGTTCGACTGTACAACCTTGCATCTTGCTGCTCAGAATTAATGGCAATATTTGCAATGAACAAGGTGAGACTGCACTACCTTGAAGAAGAATCTGCCTCCTTTGTGCTGTGTCGAGTGCCCCAGCCAACAAAGGTAAGTGTGAAACTGCTCGCATGCGTAGATTGCGCGCTAGCTCTATCTCTCCTACTACCCAACAGAGGATCTATAAAAGAATTTATCAATCCTGGCGGTCCTAATAAGGATGATGGAAAACTGTTATCAAATTATTGCATCGTCGTCGGTCCTTGATACGTGTGCGAAGTTTCAAATTAATCAAACTTCTGGAAATTGGTGAAAATTATACTCAAAGATTCCGTTACATGCATACATACATACAGGTCCAGCTAATAAAAAAATAAATAAAAAAAGGTATACTACAATCTGCCTCCTGTGAGGATTGAACTCACGACCCCTGGTTTACAAGACTAGTGCTCTGCCACTGAGCTACGGAGGCTTCTAGTTTCAGTGTTCGTAAAGCAGCGTTTGAAATACGCGGATTTTTATTCACACATCGGCCTTTTACAGAATTTTACTTTTGAATAAGGATAATGGAACCGTTTCTTAATATGTGTGCGAAGTTTCAAATTAATCACGCCTTTGGAAATTGGTAAAAATTATCCTCAAAGATTCCATTATATACATACATACAAGGCCAAGCTAATAAAAGCGTGTTAAAAAGAATCTTTTGTCTCAGCAACCTTGACCAAAACTTCCCCAGTTTCCTATATGCTTTTCCATATTGGACAATTGCTCCATGGTACACGATATCTCGCCTCCTAGACACACAGCTCTCCACAGTGTTCATAGCCCCTAAACAGAGTCACTTCATTATGACTGCAAGTAATTGATAAGTCTTCGCCGAATGCCAACATGTTTCTGCCACATTTGCTTCTTTCCCGGCCATTACAGTAAATAGTTCGGCACAACGTACGACACGATGGCCGACTTAGCATTAACTCCATTTTCCGGTAATTACGGGACCGAATTCGGCATTACCGTTGCGCCATTATCTTCAACGTTATTGTGACAAGGCAATTAGGGCACGGTATGTGAAGTTGGCCCGTTGCTCCTGGCCCGGTTATTATTGTTAACTAGTTGTGCCGGCCCCGGCGTTGAAGCTGAGCTGCGTTTGAAGCTGACGAGGTTGATGCAACATACTGGAAACTTATTAGAGAGTCTTAAATAATGAATCTACTACGTTTAGTTGCAACGAGGATTATAGTCTACTTGTTGTCTCTAATTTTTGTTCATAGTCCTGACCTGTTACAGTATACAGTATATTACAGAAAGACGTGCCATTATCTATAGGGTAAAAAGTTTTTCAAAAATAGCAAAAAAAGGTCCCAAGATGCTCCATTACCGAAATAGAGGGTGATGACGTTTTATTTACAAAATTGGAAAAAACGATGTCTACGAAGCGGGTAAAGATACTGAGCTAAGATTTTAGACGTTCAGTGAACACATTATCGGAGCTGGATACACAGGGTTTTTCGGCCCAAACTAAATCAGGGATCTAGAAACTGGGGTACGTGGACGAATAATAGGAAGTACGTTGTTGACCTTTTCGGAGAAAAAAGTGCATTTTATAATAATTCAATTTTCCATACATTTTGTCTCTGTCAGATCACCCGTTTTGGAGATATCTAAGTTTGAATAATTTGAAGAAAATCATCAAATAGTCTTACGAACAGGTTTAGCATTCCTTATTCTAAAAACACCGTGAAGCTTGATATTAGAATCACTATATGGCATGTGAAGAAAGCTATGGCACCTTTTTACAATACTTCCTGCAATAATATGCGCGTCATATACTCAATCAGTAGCGTTGAAACTTACCACCCATTGCACATTGTCTACTGATATTACCTTTATCAGATTCTTCTGTTGGTCTACAATCACAACTAGTAATTGTGGAACCAATCGATGTGAGTGAAATTCTTATTATTTTACTTCTGGAATTATCGGTATTTTTTCTCAAAATTCGTTAGCATTTCGGATTAAGTGAGCTCAACAATAAAGATATCATTAACCGTTACCAACCTTGGACATTAGGTAAAAGGATGACGATGACCATATCTCTAGTGAGTGGTAAGTTTATACGCTACTAATTGAGGATATGACATGCATATTATTCAAATAATGTTGTAATGAGGTTCCATAGCTTCTTTCACATGCATTTTAGGAATTTACCTCATATGTTCAACTCTGAATATCTCCAAAACGAGTGTTCTGATAAAATTAATGAAAAATTGGTATGGTATGGTATTTGATCAAGTGTACTTTTTTCTCCAATACACCCAGTGCCTTAGCAAATATTTTCTATTAGTGATCTAGGTACCCCAGTTTCTACGTCACTGGTTAAGTTTGGGCCGGGATGTTCTGTGTGTTTATTGCCCATGGTGTGCTTACTGAACGTCTGAAATCTAAACTCAGTATCTATGCCCTCCGTTGATATATTTTTTAGACCCATATTTATAGGAGCTTCTCTTATTATTTTTGGGTGATCCTTCTACTTTAAGAATATTAGTACGGCTTTCTGAAACACTCTGTATATTGCTCTGAGTTTTTCAACAAGAAGCAAATGGAGCTCGTTGAATGGATGGACTGCTCGATCTTCGGTCTTGAATCCGCTATCTTATTACCTCTAACTAGTTTTTGCCGGCGTGGAACCGCCAACGTCGTATAGGACGCTGAAGCTGATTATGGAGCTGCATTTACAGCTGACGACATTGCTAAAACATCCTGGAAAGTTATTAGGGGGTCTGGAAGAGTCTGGGATTACCCGCTGCCACGACATACTAGAGAATTTCATTTAGTTGGGAAGAGGGTTACGTTTTGTTAGTAGAACTAATTTATTGCAGTATGTATGTTGGGCTCTAGCCGTACTTTCAACAGCTTGAATACGGTTGCTCAGGATCTTTTAACAAGCATACGGACATCGTTGGATAGAACCTGCGTTTTCTTTGGGTGCGAGCCTCCATTTCCGCAGCTGATGACGTTAATGCAATATAAACTGGTAAACTTATAGAGTTTATCAGAATCTAAGATTACCAATACTCATCATTCACAAGAGTACTCTACTCAGTTGTAGGGAAATATGGATTTTACCATGACATAGCGCAAGGTGTCGCAAGTCTGAGTTGAAGCATAGTTCAAAATTCTCCTACTCGTTAACGCATCAGATTTGCTCAAATGTACCACGAGGATTCTATCATTTTTCACATAACAATAATGATGACGCAACCTGAGTACAAGAGATCCCTAAGGCTCCAGTTACATCAACCTTCACTTTCACAATATCCTTTTTTAACAAAATGGAACACATAAAAGTTCACTTTATGATCTTACTATAGTCAACGTTATGTAAGAAATGACGTCTAGTGGGTTGACTTTGCACTTCTGACGAAACTTTGTTATCTACGAACATCTAGAGCATATGAAATCGATCCAATCAGTCAGACAGTGCCATACAATCAGCCCATAGTCGCCACCAATTGGACAACATTGTGACACTACCGACCACATGGCAATATTACTATGTCTAACCTTGCCACGAAGCAGTCACTCATCAGTGACACTCTGGCGCAGGTATACAGGGTGTTTGGCAGGTCGATACAAAGTCTTGGGGAGGGGATAGGGAATACCATTTAGAGTCTTTTACGTCAAAGAGACCTCGGTACAGTTACGGTTTTCGAGATACTTGGATTTTCAAATTTATATCATAAATTAGTAAATGAAACAAAATAAACTATTTTTTGTTTCTAATACATGCTCGAGCTCTACGTGTCACTTCGGTAGTTGCAGTATTTAATAACCTGTCTTGCTGGATTAAATAAAAAGCGTCTCGAATTTTTCTTATTAAATGGTCTCTTGATACGATTTCTTCAGTGCTGCTGTTTAGCCTGCCCCCAGACATAGGAATACAATGTTGTCAAGTCGGGGGATCTAGCAGGCCACGGAATTGGTCCACCTCTGCCTATCCAGCTATTTGGAAAAGTAACGTCCAAATATTGTCTTACGTCTAAACGGAAATGAGCTGGACTTCCTTCGTGCTGGAAAGCAATTTGCATGTCATCTGAAATGTCTACTCCTACAAGTAATTCAGGAAGATCCTTTTGGAAAAAGTGAAGATAACTGTCGCCGTTTAATCATTCAGGCAAAAAATGAGGACCGATTAATCTTTGTCCTATGACGGCGGCCCATACCTATTTTCTCAGTGTGGATTTTCCTTCTTATCAGCCCATTGATGAAAATTGTGAAAATTTGGATTTGTCCGTCGATAGGATGCTTTCCAGGAACCGTTCGTTCTCAATGTCGCTATGAAAGAGAAAACGAAATTGGCTTCTGCGAATAGAATCACCATCTTCAACTCCTTGTACGCAAATACCATGAAAAAGATATTTTCTTTCACGGTGCATGATACTCCAAACCTTCCATGGCGACAAACCAGGATCAGCAGCAGCTTTCCTAGTACTTGTAGTGGAATCATCTTCAAACTCTTGCAGGATTAGATCTTTGGCTTCAGGAGGATATCGACCTGGATTAACACCAGGTTCATTACGTGTGACACTTCCAGTCTCGTAAAGACGTCGGTAAGACACTCTGACATCAAGGCCGGTCCAGACGCTCCATTTTGCACAACGTTTTATCTGCGCAGTCTCAAGACGGAATGAAAACGTTGCAATTTTCAGACCGTCCACACGGTGCAGATATATCTGTATATTTCGCTCAGTTTTGTGTGATATTGTCATGGGGGAGGTACTACTCTGGTCAGTTTGGGCAATGTGTCTCGATAAAAAAAAGAAGATTGAAACGCCTCGGAAGTACCAGGCGTTCAAAGTGGTCGCGAAAGAGGCTTCTAAAAAGGCAGCAATTTTTTTCACAACGGTTTATCGGTCTGCAGTTGCATCGATTTGTTTATCTCTGTCACTGTACTCCTTGCATTTCACACGCCAAATGCATGGGAAACTTTTATATAATTCAATGAATTCTGTGAGAAACTCACGGGGACATTACCATCCACGTGCACCGACTTGTCTGCGCAGTTCACGGATATCTATGCTCTCCTAGCTCAGTTATCGCTGCAACTGTACCGTCTTCGCGCCAGAGTCAAAACTGCGCAGTTTTCCCGTCTACACGCAACGTTTTATCTGCAACATGTCGGACTGTGCAGACAAAACGTTGTGCAAAATGGAGCGTCTGGACCGGCCTTCAGGCAATCTTATCCCAGGAAATGGCTCTTGGTACAACCGGCGTGCTTCTAGTCCATTACCATCTGCTCTGTCAAACTAATTTATTCAGGGTTTTTGGACTGAAATTCATGAATTACTATTGACCTGTTTGGAAAGGAATAAAGCAAGAATGTGTGGAATTTAGTTATATCATGCACGCAAAGACGTTCCTTCTTATCAGTATCACAAAAATAGGAAAACATGAATTTATTATTTGTTTACAGTCAATTTGTTTTTCTGTTCTCTACCTTTCGAGAAAAAACCACACTGTCAGGTATTTAAAGACTGTTTTATTTAGCCTGATGTTCTTTCAGTGTACAGGTCATATATGATAATATCCAAAGACATACTATCTCATTTTAGAAATTATGTGCGATTACAATACTTCCTTGTCAGATGGCGTGGAAATTAAATGATAAAGAACTTTCACCGGAAAACTATGATGTGACTCCGTTATAAAGCAATCCAAACAAATACCAAGTGCCTGATTGATACGTGCTCAAGGCCGCTAGGTCATATCATTGCAAATTGCCACTAAATTCCAATCCGATTGGTATTGGTAACAATATTGCAGATTCAACAATTTTTATGATTGATGTAAGAACATACTTAGATTCACAGAAAAAATCGACAACCTTTCCCTTCTGCAACTTTGAAACCCAGAGTCTTTTATGTTATTCCTGTTGTTCATCAGGGCAGCCGTAATATCAAAGAAATTGACACAATAGCGGCAACCTTGCAAAATCAAAGTCGTGCAATTTCCAGAACACAACCCAAATAAATCCCAGCATGGAAAATTGTGTTCGCAGAAGTTTTGAATGGTGCACAGGCTGATGCTGATACTGCAACAATGCCGGGGCCTGTTCACAAAGGCAACTTCTTATTTCCTAATTTGAGGGAATGATGCAAATTTTCGACGATGGAATGGCTTGCGCTTTCGCACACGGAGAGCGAGTAGTTGTTATAGTATAGTGAATATGGATAGATACTATAATCAGAAAGCTGCACTCTTTTATACTTCCGAAGACTTTGAAGGCAGAGCCTGAATAGCGGTAGGTCAGTATGTGTGTAAGGATTGGTTGTCCAGATACACACAATGCTAGGTGAGAAAGAAAGAAAGAAGGAGGAACTGGAGAAGGAAGGAGGGAGAAGAGAAATAAATACGTCGGTTTGAGACGCACGTAATTATTTACACATAAACTTTATTAACCACAATAAGGCGCTATTGTACTGACTATTTTGTTTGTTTGTTGTTTTTAGGTTTATGAATTGTAAAATGTAATTCCTGAAACTGTCTGGCCAATAATTGAAACCACAGATATAATTGCTGACAGTCAATTGTCGTTGTACTTGAAAAAGGCCACCGTGCTGGCCGAAACGTCGTACAATAAAAAGGAATTAAAACATATGCGGCTTGATTCGGCCAGACAATGGAGTCTTGTGACCAAACTAAGTTCAGCTGTACCAGTTCCATTGAGATGGATCACACTTTCACTCAATGCACATATGCTTGTTACTTTCGATGAAAAAAAAATAGCTTAGGTTGATTCCGTACTTCCCACTTAGCTTTGTCTTAAATGATTATATTCGGCCCATCTGAGAAAAAGAGTTAGCTAAGAACAATTAAATCTACTAAGTCAGTCGGAGAGGCTCCTAGAAGCAAAATGTGAATATTTGTCATGCCTTTGTGTTCAATGTTGGGACTTCTCTGAGAAACTTTGCTATCACTAATCCCACGTGGATGACGATATTGACCTCCGCAGCCCAAAGGAGTACGGAAGCAATTGCCAACGCCGACGCACGTCCATTGAGCACGTCACGACGCACATACCGATACGCGAGTTGTGGAAATATTGAGTTTTTTTATTTGTACGGGAAAATGTGTGATGAGTGAAACATGTCCAGTAGGTAGGTAGAATTTTCACGGTTGGAGGCATATAAGTAGACCATTGTAAAAAAGTTGTGATATCACCCCCCTGCAATTTCCCACCACCGATTTGTCACCTCTTGAAATTTAAAGATAATCAGGATACTCTGAAACGTCAAAAACATAGATTGGGCAGCTTATATATTTCTTTTTATGTTTTTTGCCCAATAGCTTCTCCGTTACTGGTTCGATTTTCAAAATCTATAGATTTTTCAATTTTTGGCATAGTGGTAACGTTGTGTGGAAGTTTCATCGGCATCCGAGCGGTACTTTCCAAGTTATAGACGGAACAAAGATTAGCGGACAGTCCGACGGAAATGAGGAACATGATTTATCGTGATGTACATGCTATACAGGATACGGCAGAGAGGACGCACGTTTTTGGGATGGGTAGTATTCTCCGCTTCCGTCTACGAGAGAGGTGGGGAGGGTGCCGTTTGACTCGTGAGATCCTAGCATTATTTTACCATTTGTCGTTATGGAGCCTTGGATGGTGGAGCACCGCGTTCTAGCCTATGATTGTTTCGTCCGAAATAATGAGTCAGTCATCGTCGTACAGCGTGAGTTTCGTCGCCACTTCAACATTCATCGGAATAGAGCTGTTCCCTCTTGAAACACCATCCTTCGTTGACAGAAGACCAAGAGGAGCGCCGCGAACAGTTCGAACTCCTGAAAATGTTGATCGCGTTCGACAGGTCTTTCTTCGCAGTCCGACTCGATCTGCCCGGAAACATGCTGCTGCACTTCGCCTTAGTGATCGTTCGGCAAGGCGAATTTTGCATATGGATCTCCGCTTTCACCCCTACAAATTGGCCATTGTGAGATGGAAGCGCTGATCGATCAAAATGGGAACCTCATTTTGTTTATGAGTGACGAAGCCCACTTTCACCTAAACAGCATGGTTAACCAGCAGAATTGTCGTTATTGGGATAATGAAAATCCGCAACAGTTACACGAAAGACCGCTGCACAGCCCAAAAGTAACGGTTTGTTGCGCTGTGTCGCAACCCCAGTATAGTTTGACTATAGTAGCTCAGAGCTTCACAGCGACACAAGACGTGCGCCGAGGTCTCTTCCTCTACTCCGCAGCGTTCGCACAAGGGATCCTCAGCCACCCCCATCACGTGCAGGTGACGCCTTAACGTGTTATGGCCAGACAACAGTCCCACCAGCAACCTTAGGTTGGCTCTACCCAGAGATAGGCAGAAGCGTCCATCCTTAGCACTGGGCCCTTCAATGAGCTCTCGTGCCTGGCGGAGATGTCTAGAGATACTTCTCCATTTCTGAGAGTGTTATCTTGCAACCCACGTCTCCATTTTCCTCCTAGCTTTATGCGCGGTCACTCCTAGAGCTGGCTCAGGACCAACGAGCTTGCTGGCTGATCATGTTTTCGCCAGAGTGTCCGCCGTCTCATTACCCCTTATCCCAGCGTGCCCCGGTACCCATATTAACGATACCGGATGCCTCGCTGCGAGGCAATCCAGAGCCTCCCTGCATTGCAATACAAGACTCGAAGTAATCTTACAGGCACTTAGTGCTTTCATTGCAGCCTGGCTGTCGGATAAGATTGTTATTCTTCTCCTAGGCCCACCCTCCTCCAGAATGTGAGATACACAAGCCAGAATCGCAAAGATTTCCGCCTGGAAAATGGTGGTGTATCCACCGAGAGGCAGAGCTAGCCTAGTTCTAGGCCAGCACCTGAGCCCTCTTCGGTGACCGAGCCGTCCGTGTACCAGACCTGCCCGCTCACTTCGGAGGCTACCTGCGTCCCACTACTCCCTCGTTGGATATTACACAAAAAACTTGCGGTTGAAGCGATATTTAGGGGTAATACGATCACCCCTGCTTAGAAGGACGGGGTTCTCCCGTTCTAATTCGACTAAGATGGCAGTATGCCCATTGACAGGATTCAAGAAATCCCAGCTGCCCTGACTCCACAGTCGATAAGCGACTACTCTCGCTTCACCGCGGATCACCAGATCCAACGTTGGGAGATCCAACAGAGCTTCCATTGCACTCAATGGCGTTGTTCGCACTGCGCTTGTAATGCTAATACAGGCCAAACGCTGAATTTTATTGAGTTTGGCCTTAGTTGTCTCAGTTCTAATGCAAGGCCACCAGACCACGGAGCCGTACAAGAGCGATGGACGTACTATCGTCGTGTAGAGCCAGTATACCACTTTCGGTTTAAGCCCCCACCTTACCCCGACAACACGTCTACAAGCCCACATCGAATTGCGAGCCTTGCTAACCTTGTATTCCACATGCTCTCTCCAGTTCAGTTTGCAATCTAGGATAATTCCCAGATATTTCACTGACTGGGACAAAACTAATCTAGTCCCAAAGAAGGTCGGCATGACCAGCCCGTCAAGCCTTCTTC